TCATCATCATCATCATCATCATCATCATCATCATCATCATCAACAACAACATTGTCGATGCACAAGTTTGTTATCAATACTTAATCATGTTGCCATGGCAAAATTGGCATCAGAAATTGGCATTAATAAACTCCATGTCTTCTTAAAGCCAGGTCTATTTTCTACCACATGTAGAAAAATATAATGCAATCTGATCTGCAGCTTGTCATCAAGGACATGAAACCACAATGACCATTGGTTAGGCATACATGTGCAGTTGAACTGCTCAATAAATGTACTTTATCTCAAGAGTACATAAAGTGATTAAACTGTAGGTTATCTACAATTTTAATTATCAGAATTGATGTTGTCCTGGAAACTGCTCACAATGTTATATTACATGCATATACCACTAACATTTTGAAAAATACATATAAGTTAAAAAGAAGGGCAAATATATAATATATTTTTTAATTTCACTGCTCTGTTTGCAGTTCTACTTACATTTAGTTGATGGTTTCTTTCTGTTCTTCTCCCAGTCTCTCAGCCAGTTCATCAGCTTTCGCATGTTACTCTTGTCACCTTGCTGGCCAATAATCTGCTTCACCGAGCGTGGGCGATATTTGTCAACCCACAACAAACTTGGTTCTCCTAAACAGTTAAAGACAAAAATGAGTAGTTGAACGACTTGTATGTGTATGTATTTAGTTCGTATTTACTGTGTATGTATTTAGTTATCAGGACATTTTGTTGGTCAAAAATAAGTATCTTGACAGACAGTTGGATGTGAAGATCCATGCAAATGCGATATGTGGTCCATAGGAAATTCCAAGGGAAAGGGGTTCTCAAAAGCCAATATTTCTTTAAAGGAAAGTGTACAGCAAAACTAGAATTTCCTGGGAGAATCCAATAAGGGCATCAGTCAAATCTAAAAAAATCTCAGTGGGAGGAGCATCAATATTCTCTGGAACATCACAACATACCTTTTGACGCAGGTGATAATGTGGGTGTCTGTGTGGCAGGAGATGACACTGATCGTTCACTAAGCTGCGATGATTCCCCTTCGAGCTGTTCCTTTCCTTGACTCAATTTTTCAGCTTCTTCACTTTTTTCTTTCTTCTTTGACTTCTTTTCCTTACTGGGAGGTTCATAGCTGATCTTCTTCCCTGGTTTTGTCTTGACTAGTTCAAAGAGCCCATCCTCATCTAGCTGTGTTGTCCCACACTGCTTAGCCTTAAAACAACAAACAAACAAACAATTTAACAAAATACAATCTCTCTCCACCACCTATCACAAGCAGTTAGTTTCAATAGGGTGATACTTTATTATTAAGAACTGTTTTATTTTTGCTTTTGGGTCAGTATAAATTTTTTGTTGTTGTTGTTTTTTCTTTTTTTTGTTTTGTTTTGTTTTGTTTTTTTGGCATGGGACTATCTGACTACATACAGTAGGTACAATAAAATGTAAAAGATGCTTGGGCTGTCCCTTACCTTAGAAAGTTTGCTCTCACCAGCATCCCGTCCCACCACAATATAACTTGTTTTCTTGCTCACCGACTGAGTCACCTTGCCACCGTACCTCTGAATCAAATCCGCAGCGTCATCTCTCTCAATACTTTCCAGCACTCCAGTAATAACAAATGTCAGTCCCTCTAGGCAGTTTTCTTCTCCCTATAAATGCAGCCAAATAACATTGATTTTGACCACTGCTTGGCAAAAAAAAACACTAGGATTTGGTGTGGCTCCACTGTACATTCACCACTATTGAGGTATGTGTACACATGCATTGAGTTGTAACTAGTTGTAAGTACTTGCAAATTACACAAGTAACTGTTTTTAATGTAGACAACTTGCCTGACTTACTTAATGTTGAATTATCATCCTTGCTACATTTGAACATGATTGATACTCACCTCAGGGACTGGTTTTGAGCCAAGAGCTCTGGGACCATCCCTTGCCATGAAACTGCGATAATTTGATTTTTTCTTCTCTAAAGATGGAGGAACCTCATCTGGTTCATCAGATTTAGGTGTCTTCGGAGTTTTCTCGTTTGGAGATTCCTTTGCAACTCCTTTGTCCTCAGATTTCTTTGGAGTAACAGTTTTCTTTGGACTCCTCTTAGTGTCTCTACCTGGAGTCTCAGGGACAGCAGTAGTTGCTTTTGATGCTACAGTTGCGGCTGCTTTAGCTGCAAGCCGACTAGCAGGTGTGGTCTTGGGAACACTCTCCGGTGTCTGTGAAGGGTAAAGTATGTATGCTAATTAAAACAACAAGACATCTGAAAATAACTATACAACAAGCAGATGATTATGAACATGCCACTACATACAGACTTTTATCTTAGAGGTCAACAATTCAATATCTAAATATTAGTCTAACTACAGTACAGCTATGTTCAAAGAGCAGGCTAACATCACAAACCAGCAAAAGATAACCTGAGAATAACTTGTCGTGCCCAAATAGACATTGCAGCAACAGTCAGTCAGTCTTCAAGTCTCTGACTTCTAATGATTAATTTATCCAAAAATTACATTATTGAAAGCCCAGTTGACTTCTGCACCTGCTAAAAGAATTTATATTGTTCAAACAACAATTAGATGTACAGTTGATGAACAAATTCACAGACCTTCTTCTTTTCAGGAGATGGCTTTTTTTCTTCCCGTCGTGGGGTAGATGAGTCTTCTTTTCTTTTCTTGGATGGCTGTTCTGTTGCTCTACCATTCAGATCTTCATTTTCCCTCCGTCTCTTCTCTTTTCCATGTAGTGACTCCTGATCTTCATTTGCAAGCGCTCCCCCATTTTCTTCTGGCTCATCAGATCTCTGTGAGGAGAGAAAAAAATAATCTTATATGTGTATGTTCCATTCCAGATGACTGATAAGACACTGCATGTACATGTTCATGGCCACTGACTTTTGACTTTTCAAAAGATAAACAGGTGACAACCAAACTGTCAGCTTGAAAACATTGCTCATGGTAGCCACATCTCATCTCTTACTTGCATGTATCCATGACTTCACTCATTCAGTTACAGTATTTATCAGAATTTAAGAAAAAATGTCAGTGCCATCTGTAGCGTAGTCAATTTTAGTGTTTGACAAAGAACTTTGCAGTGAACTCAATAAAGTGCTGTTGCATTGTCATGTGGCAGACAAATGGAATTCAGTGTGTGAGAACTACATGTATAACTAGGTACTACATGTATTCATTGTAGTTTTACTGTAGTAAGATTTAGTATCTTATGTAATTTTTAAGATTTTTTGCTCAGAGGCATTTTTAAATTAGTTTAATATAATTATATAGCTACATAACTCATTAATTCAAATTGAATTTTATTGCCATTAAGGTCCAAGAAGTACATAATCAGTTGAGAGTAAATTTTCCCTTTACACCTTAGCAATATGTATATCTGTACATGCTTCAACTTACCACCCTGTGAATACAGTTGCTTTCAATCTCAGAATGATCAAAGTGGACTCTGCTTGCAGAGTAGCAATTTACAAACCTGTTTCCTCTTTGCAGCAAAAACTTTTCGCGATTCTCTTTCAGCAGGAGTTGAACCAAAGAAGTCAAGAGCAGACGTCAGTTTCTGTGGAGTTTCTTTAG